CTGAGGATGGGATAGAACTAAGTAGCGAAACTATAAACGAAGAAACAGCACAGGTAGTTGAAAAAATTAACTTAGATAGTTTGAGATGGAGAAGTATTGGAATGAATGATTGCGATACTTCTTGGAAAAACAAAGTCATCTGCGGTGAATGTAAAGATCCACTAGCATATTTTGTCGACTTTTTTGATGATGAAATTATTCAAAAGATCTGTGCTGAGACGAATATCTACGCGATGCAAACAAGTGGACTTGAACTGAAATGTGAACCTTACGAAATAAAGAGATTTATCGGTGTATTACTGTACCTAGGTGCAGTGAAAATACCTCAAATGAGAATGGCATGGGCRCAAAATGTCCGACTTACAGCGATAACAGAATCATTTGCAAGAAATCGTTTTGAAAAAATAAAGCAATATTTCCACATCAATGATAATTCTACACAACCTCAAAAAGGAAATAGTAATTACGACAAACTACATAAAGTAMGTCCACTATTAGATAAACTCAAGGAAAAGTACAATCAAATATCCCAAGAGGGATATCAAAGTATTGAAGAGCAAATTATTGCTTATAAAGGTAATATCAACAGTATATATGTAAATAGATTGTGCATTTTATATTTTATCATTTTTTTATTATTTGCAAGGTCACAATAGTATGAAGCAGTATTTGCCAAAAAAAACCGCACAAGTGGGGTTTCAAAATGTTTACTCGCGCTGGAGCTTCGGGAATTATGTATGATTTTGCGCTCTATGTTGGCGAGGGAACTTGTCCCTCATATGGATTAGGGATATCGTCGGACATAGTACTTTTTTTGTCTTCAAAAATTCCAAATAATGAAAATTTCAAATTGTTTTTCGACAATTGGTTCACCTCGGTTAGTTTGATGATTACTTTGAAAGAAAGARGAATTTTAGCAGTTGGAACATTGAGAGCAAACCGGAWAAAAAATTGCGAACTGAAATCAGAAAAGGAGTTGAAGAAAAGCGGACGAGGATCAAGTGACTTCAAATTTGAGATTGCTCACWATTTAATTATTTGTCGGTGGTACGATAACAAGATTGTACAACTTCTTTCGAACTACATARGTGAGAGTCCGATGAGTGAATGTAAACGATGGTGCCGAAAAGAAAGAAAATATGTGACTATCCCTCGTCCAGGTATAGTTGATTGCTATAATAGACATATGGGAGGAGTTGACCTTGCCGATATGTTACTAGAACTATATAAAATCAACCACCGTTCAAAAAAGTGGTATATGCGAATTGTCTACTGGTGCATAAACTCTGCGGTAGTCAACAGYTGGCTTTTGTACCGAAGAGACATAGCAAATAACACGGGTGAAAAGAAATTTATGTCACTGCTCGATTTTCAGCTTGATATCGCAAATGAGCTAATGCACGCAACAAATATAACGTTTATACCACGCAAAAGAGGTCGCCCATCGTTACTTTCCCTGAGTTCGCCAGCTTCAACTTCACCARCTAGATCATCATCAGCTATATCCTCATCTCCATCATCATCAGCTGCCTCTACAAGCTCCGGTAAAAGAGCGTATGTTCCAAACCCGGAAAACAGTAAAAAGTATGACCAAACGTGACATTGGGTCGAATGGGGTTCAAAAGGACGCTGCAGACTATGTCAAACTGGATGTCCTCGATCAAGGTGCAGCAAATGTAAGGTGTATTTATGTTGCAACYCGMAAAAAAATTGTTTTGTATCTTTTCATACCTAAATGTACGAAAATTTTCAAATAAAAACAAGAACATTTCAAAATGTATCTGTATTTCAAAATTGTTCACTATTGCCCAATGTTGCCTATAGGCAACATCTTGTAACTCTAAAACCAGAACTCCTAGGACTTTGAAATTTTGGTCAGTTCATATTCAGGTCGCGATTAAAGTATACCTGTACTCAAATATTTTTTAGCCTCGCCCATTTTAATTCGGGCATGAGAGGGTTAAATAGCCCTTAAACACTCCTAAGAATCAGCAATTCATTGTTTTTATTGGATTATGAACTTGCGCATCCATTTTGCGCAGATCTTTCGCCTCTTTAGGGCGTAAACTGCCTTCATTGTTCTCAAAAGTTGATTTTCCTTGTACAGAACCCAAATTCAGCAGTATTTTCTCCCTAAAAGCAATGCTTTATTAACACATGAAATGCTTTATGAACCATTTTCTTTTTTTTTTTAAACTAACACAAGTTGCTTCACTCAAAATGCTATATCTCATTACCTAATAGTTCCTCAGTTGCCAAATTTGCATAAGTATCATTGCATTGTATTATCTACATATCAACCACAGTAAGTGTGGACGCGTCCTCTAGTTTAGTTAAATATAAAGGATAATGAATCGATTTCAAGCATTTTGGTACCAAATAAGACTTTTTACTATAAAAGAAATGTTAGTTATATGTGGTTAGAAATGGTGATAGGAATTTAAACATTTTCAGTACTTTACCACATATTTTCCAGGAAAGTCCAGGAAATTGAGCGAAATTTTCGGTATAGACACAGAGATCCTCATATGGAGCCCACATGGGGCTAGCAAAGACCACCAATCTTTAGGTGAGAGTGACATACACTAAAGGCACAATTTTAAAAAATTGTTGTTCTCAGGTCCTCATTGATTCTTCACGTATTCATTGTGGAGTGGAAATTCTTGGATAGCATAGAATGACTACTATATTATCCCGGGGCAAAGGCACAGAGGTCCTCATATACAGTACGAGTGGGCTAGAAAATTTTAGGCAATGACTTATTGTACACCGAAAATCAATAGTTGCAATCCTATATTATCCAAAAAAATTTGCAGTGAGAATGTTATGTACACATTGAGTTAAAATTGGTATGTGTTTTCCTCCAAAAGTGATTGGTAAAGTAAAATATTTGAACCAACCTCTTGTATTATCATAATTAATTAATGATTCTGACGCTTTGCGTGATTTTTGAAATGAGGAAATGTATTCGTTAAATTTAAAGGGCAGAATTTCACCTCCTTACACAACACTATTCTGTAGCAAATTCAAGTTTGTTATAAATACTTTAATTTTATCATTTTATATTAACTGTTAGCGAACGCTTCCCCGTGATAAGACTGGGTACTTTAAGGGATTTGTCTTAAATAAACGTGATCATAATTTAATTTAAGGACATAGCAGAACAAATTTTTATGCAATTAGTTTGACTACCGGCATCCATAGCTATTCTTTATATTCATTCAAATACATTACAAACGTTAATTAAGAAATTGCGTGCACATACCTAATACATACATGCACAATGTTGTAATCAGAAGCGTCAATTGGTAAATGATTTATCAATGGAAAACCTTTCTATTGATTGTCTCTACACGTAGTGTACATACATATGTTAACAACATTAATATCGATATCCTACATGAAGTACAGGGTTGGAAAAGTAACAAATTCACATTTAACTTCAAATTCATATGCAACCAATAACATTAAAAAAATGTGGTTTTTGGTGGTGTATTCTTGTTTCCAATCTGAGCTGCTGTAATACAATTCTCCAAGCAGATTTCTCATACATTACTGTAAACATAGAACTCCAATAATGAAGAAGAACTCACAGACACCTCTTTCTTTTATAGACTAGAAACACAAATGATGCAAAAATCTGATTTTTAACCACACAAATTACCTTTTTTCATAGCGTAGGCGATTTAAATAGGTTTTAATCAAAAGGTGTCAAAACTCCACGTATATCGCGCCTCATATGCTGCGTTTCGCCCTTGTTACCGTCAACCATACACTACTCCTAATCCAAAGCAAAGGGCCATTAGGTTGTTATACATACATTCTCTCTAAGCATATTCACAGCAAATGAGACATAAGTAGAATTTATTGTCGCTGAAGCTCCATTGTTAATTACCTTACCGTGTACCACAGAGATACTAAAATCTCTAAATGTTTATAGATATTGAATGCCATATAAAATAAGAGAAACGTAATATATCAAAACCGGCACTTCTATCACAAGAAACTTCCTTTCGATTTTCTGATCAGATAATAATATCAAACAAGTTGTACCGATTGTCTATTATTTCAGCATTATTCTATTCCATTCTGAACTTTTGTCGTAAATAATGAACTGAAAGCTGAAAATAGTATTGTAGTCTAGTAGTTTAGTAGTGTAGGAACAAACAACCTATAATGAATGACTCACACTCTCTATCTCAATCGTAAGGATTTACTACGCATGGGCAGAGATATTTACGAAATATAAACGGGATAAAACATTTACACATGCATGAATAAAATTTACAAATGTCAGTGTACATCGAATCAAGATGAGCAATAATTATTACTATATATTTATTCGAAATTACTATCCAACGATTTTAATAATGTAATATAATCGACATATTTTGTCCATTACTGTATTTTAAATGATATATATAATACGTGAACTACATAATTCTTGAACATTTCATCAGTTATTCACAAAATATCGGAAAACATTGTAAAAGTAATGAAAGACTTAAGTTGCACCTAACGGAACAATTATACTGGGTAAAATTTAGAATAGCATCCCCGGATTTCGGGGATAAAATCGGTATCACTGGAAGGGTGACAAAGATATTTGCATTTAAAGTTGGAAAATTTACAACTTTTACATTGATAATATGTATATTGTGAATAACTTTTTCACTTACATATATTATGCACTTTTCACTTACTAACACTTCACTATAACGTTTTTGTATATTAATTTTTTTAATATTTATTGTAAATAAAGCTTTATTTTAATTATTTTATTTTAGTTAAATTCTCTGCATTTTGAATCGCGGCGCGGAAAAAATAACCATGGCAACCCTTCTCTTATTGTGCAAATCCAGATAATTTAACTGAAATTAAATAAATAAAATTGTTGCAACCAAGATTCGCACCCGCCTCTATGAAGCAAAAAGCGAACATTAACAAACACAAGGAAGATTCAATGTCGAAAAGCTGCAATCACAACAGACAGCCGAACGATTTTCTTCTCCACTTGCACTTCTGCTCTCTGACACCACTCGACAACAACTCGGTATAAGGGAACTGTGGGACGGCATTTCAAACTGCTTACGTACAGCTGCAACCGAAACCATTGGTTTTCGGAAAGTGCAAAAGAACAACTGGTACGACGAGGAGTGCCGTGTCACAGCGGAGAGAACGTTACGATCGACCACAAAACGTGTGGGATGGGATAGATATCGAGAGTTGAAGAGGGAAGCGAGACTCATTTTCAGACAGAAAAAAAGAGTCTGAAATGCGTGAGTGTAAAGAGCTTGATAAGCTGGCCGACAGGGGTAATGCTCGTAAATTCTACGAAAAAATGCGGCAGCTTACAGAAGGTTTTAGGACCGGAGCATACCCTTGTAGAACCCCCAAAGATAATCTAGTCACCGAAGTCCAGAGCATACTTAAATTATGGAGGGAACACTTCTCCAGCCTGCAGTGAACGTAAAACGCCAAAAGAAGGTGAACCTAATTCCCCAATCGATGGGGGCCGATGGATTGCCGGCCGAGCTATTCAAACACGTTGGCGAAGAACTGATAAGGAGCATGCATCAGTTTCTCTATAAAATATGGCCGGACGATTGAAATTTAAGTGCGTTCTGTTCAATCCATAAAAAGCGATACTCCAAAATTTGCGCCATTTACCACATAATAAGCCTCCTCAACATCGCGTATAAAGTTCTATCGAGCGTATTGTGTGAAAAATTAAAGCCCACCGTTAGCAAACTGGTGGGACCTCATCAGTGTGGCTTTAGACTAGGAAAATCGACAACGGAACAGATATTCACCAAACGACCCGTGAAAAGAGAACCGACACTCACCAACTTTTAGTCTATTTCAAAGCTGCTTTTGACAGCACGAAAAAGACCTGCCTTTATGGCGCGATGTCTGAATTTGGTATCCCCGCAAAGATAATACGGCTGTGTAAACTCACGTTGAGCAAAACCAAAAGCTCCGTTAGTATCTGGAAGGATCTCTAAGAGCCATTCGACACTAAACAAAGTTTTAAAAATGCTGCTATGGAGAGTAATTCGAGCTGCAGAACATTGAAAGTTTCAGAACATTGAAGATTTCACATTTTTTCTTTTTTAATTTAATAGTTCTTCGTAAAAACGTATATTTTAACCTCAAAGTAATAATGGAACCCTATATGGCAACTCTACTTATGTGTTGCAAAAACCGCAACTAACTTCAATTTCTTATTAGTTAGTATAGAACAAGTAAGGAGAGTCCCAAAAATTTGGTATTCAGGTTAGACTAGTTCTGTGTTTAAGTGCTATAAGTAGGATGACTCCATAGGGTAAACAAACCACAGTTGAACAGCGGAAAACTGTCATTCGGTAGTCAAAATCAGAGCTTAAACCAGGAATAATGCATATAATAGAAGGGAATATCCATCTTAGCGTTTATTTGAACATTTTGAAAACGAATGCGAGGGAAAGTGTTCGAAAATTGGATATAGAAAAAGATTTTATATTTTACCAGGATAATGATCCAAAGCACAAGGCTTACGTTGTGCGAAGCTGGCAGCTGTACAATTGTCCTCACGTGCTTGAAACTCCGCCACAGTCCTCCGATTTGAAAGTAATCGAGCATGTGTGGTATTATTTGGAGCAGAAATTAAACGAAACCGGAGTTGATAGCACTCTTGAGGGAGTATTCTACTCTACAATTTTGAAAAATTCGATTTTTTTTTCATATATTTAAAGTTTATCCCCTTAAGAACATATCCTCCAAAGGATTTTTAAAAATTAAAATTATTTTAAGAGCTACAGTTACTTCCGTGACTCAGTACCTAGTCCGGTAGACTCACGTTTTTCTCGAAAATAATTTTTCCACACGGTACCGGCAGTATCTATACAACCGATTTACTTGAAATTTTTTTGTGAACCTTCTTTATATAATCCTTTATCTTTATATAATCCTTAATCCTTTGTTTTCAATATTTTAAAAAAATTCAGGAATTCAATTATTTTCAAGCAGTCGCCATTTTTCAAAAAAATATTTTTTTCGTGTTTCCTAAAATAGGGACTATAACAGCATCCTTACCGAGTAAGAATTTCTTTTGATTTCTTTTTCAGACCACCAGGAGAGTCAGGATCAATGTCACCAGGATGCGCGATTTCTTTCCTATCGGTCCTATCACCTATCGATTGTCATTTTTTTATATTTTGTAAGCAACTCAAACACGAAAAGGTTAAAAATTTATACATAAATTACGTTAATATTATGAAACAAAGTCAACATATATTTTTATTTTTATTGATAATTATGTTTTTTGACTATGTTATATAAAATTTAATATTTGTTATCGACATATTTTTTTTTTCATTCAAGTTTAAAAACATCTCTGAATAATGAAATGTAATAGAGTATGTGACTATCACTTACAGAATAGCAAAATCGTCTCAAAAATTGTCTCTGTCAAATTTAGAGACTTGATACTGTATCACAGTACAGAATCGAACGGTTAATTCAATTCCGGTTGCTAAAAGATCTTTAAGAATATCGAAAATTATTTATGTTATGCATAGAAACTATCCTATATAATTTTGTTTATGGAGGCTAGCGAAAGTATTAAGTCGCTTTTATCCATTTTTGCTGCCAAGACATATTTTTGTCAGAAAAAGCTGCTCTCTGAGTTTCAATATAATATATCACAGATTTACCGAATTACACATAACGTAATAAGGCAACAGGAAGTTTGATATCTTGACAATATGGCCCACAGTCGTTATTTCCTTTTCTCAAATCTGTAGAGAATGCTCGCTGAGTAGAAGTTTTGGACAAAAGAAGAGATAATCGTAGAAACTGAAGACTAGTTTGAAGCAATGAACAAATGGTTTTACAAAAATGGTATTGGAAAACTTAGGGTCGCTATCATCAGTGTATAACGCTTGAAGGGACTTCTTCTTCTTTACTAGACACCGCTTACGCGGTTATAGCCGAGTATCTTCAAAGCTGGAGTGTTCTCTTTATATTCTCATGCTCCATTGACTGTGGTTCTCGCCGTTACCAATGCGTAAAGGACCAAACCTTTTTTCCGCAAAAAAATTTCTCTCGAACACTCCTAAGCCCATATCATCAGATGATATGATTGTCCATTTCTCCACACTATTTAGGAAGACGAAAATAATTAGAGACTTTTAGAGTTTGATCTTTGTTCGTCGAGTTGGGACTTTACTTTTCAATTCCATACTTGGTCCAAAGTATCATCTGTTAGCAAGAGTTATTCTGTGTTAAATTTCAAGACTGATATTGTTGTTGGTGTTGGTGTTGATGTTAGTTCCAAGCAGACGAAATTATCTATGACTTCAAAGTTATGACTGTCAACAGTAAAGTGCGAGATATGTCCCGAATGTGTTGATTGTTCTTTGTCGCTTCTTTATCTAGTCTGTAGAAAGCAGAACTAACGGCGTGGTTGTTGAGGCCAATAATATCAATATCATCGGCGTATGCCATCAGCTGTACACACTTATAGAAGATTGTACGGTTTGTTGATTGGAGGGACTATATTGAATAAAAAAACCAATTTTGTCAAAAAGAGTGTTTTACTGTTGCAGGCCGAGTTAAGTTAAGAAAACACCAGGATTCGATCTAATTACACCCACAAATCATACATTAGTTTACTTAAGCTCGCGTATCTTTTCAATTCAATCATCCTTTAAAACTAGTTGAAAAATTAGTTCAGTTCGGCTTCAGAAACAGGCATTCAACAATACAAGACAATCTTTGTAATTTCATTTCTAACTAAAATTCATTACTATAAAATATGTTAACAAATCTTTGGTAGCATTGAGGAATGGTTATACCATTTTGATAAGGTATTAACATATTCTCTTGCACGAATTCAATTCAATAACGATGTTAAGGTTATTATTTTCGTTATTTTGAAAACTTTTGTTCGACTCGCTGGAGAGTAACGCTTGCCGATTTGAAGGCAGCTGAAGACAATTAAATTGTATATCTGTTTATAACTTTGTGAAAACTAGTTACGACTTTCATTGGGTTATTATTTAAACTTCTTATAAATAGGTTCAATATTATCTGGAGAGTGGCGATATCTTTTTGAAAA